GTTGGCTGGCAGGTAGGTTACCACGGCGAGCGATGTTCGCCGAAACAGATACCGACTGGAAAAAAGCCAAGGGTGGTCAAGCTAAGACGTGGCACAAGGGTATGGAAACACTAACCAGGAGACTGGGTCACATAGGTCCTGTTAGGCTTCCTGGCTGGGGACCTCGAATGATCGTAACCGATGGTTAGAGACACTGAGCGATATGGCTGGGTGTCGTAAACAGTGGCGTTCGTGCATCTCAATTTCTTTGCAACCTTAGACCACTGAACTTCTCCATTTTCTGTTCGACTTCACTTTGAAGTTTCCTTCTATTTTTCATCCCAATGAGCAGCCAAAAGACAACAACCAAACCGGCGCACGAAAGTGCATGATTAATAGTTATTCAAACTGAAACTGTTTCATAAGGCAAATGATTCTGCTTCGCATCCAAGGGGTGATGTCGCTAAGGACTTTAACAACCATTCGCTGTTATGGACCCTGTCTTTGAAGGGTCGGGTATATGCGACAGCAGTTCTGCTATGCAGAAACTTGGTCACTAAAAATAGAGGATAAAACGTCGCTGTTCGAGCACCGGTGTTTACACAGGGTTGCACGAATCTGGTGGGGCAGCCGGACCAGCAAACCCTAGGTTAGGCGCATAGTTGTAGGGAACTGCGGTTGTTGCTGGGGCATATGACCAAAAAGGTTGTCACAGTGAACGTTGTTCGGCGGACGACATTGGCTTTATCCCATCCACTATCTGCCTCGGAGCAGAGGGTGATCAAGATAAGACCTGGCATGAGAGTATGAAAACCGTAACCAGGAGTATGGAACACATCGGTCCTGTTAGGTTCCCTGGATAGGGATCAGCGTAATCAATGGCTAGAGGCTGATATGGCTGGGTGTCGTAAACAGTGGTGTTCGTGCACCCTCTCAATTTCTTTACAAAATCAGTTCACTGAAATTCTCAGTTTTCCTCGATTTTGCTCTCAACCTTTCTGTCTTTGTCCTACTGTTCATCCAAATGGACAGCTAAAAGATAACAAACAAAATTGGTGCACGGTTAATGGTTGCACAAACTGAATGGCTCTGTGCATTTCTTCATGCCTGGTATTGAGTCGAATGACAGCAAAGCTGCCTAACACTAACTTTGGGTGGCGGCGGTGAAGATGGAACCTCGGACCCTGGAGTCCAAAGCACGCCGGTGACCACGGCTTATTCACTGCCTACCCATATTGTGAGATACAGTTGGCTGGGGTTCACTAAATCAGTTGTACGAACCAATTTTTATCGTCCAGTTGTAGCAAATTGAAAAGACCAGTGGTTGCAGTTTTCCTCGATCTAAACGGTGCTTGACTGAGTGGAACGTGAACCCACTTCGGTTTTCTGCCTAGTAGAGGAACAAATAAGACTTCCAGAAACGTCCGAACTATCAGTCTTCTATGGGTAGTTGGAAAAAGACTGATTCGGTGTACAGAGACCATATCACTTGTATGTCCGACAATACGGAGCACAAGCAAAGCGCATTTGACAGGCTATCAATCTCTGGATTCTTTCGGTGAATTAGTTCTGCAGGACTGGGTCATCATTGTACAGGGTAATACAGTGAAGCGAACTTCACTGATAGCTGGCAAACTGGGTGTCTGCTGTCCACTGATGTAAGACTCCATGACCAGGCATTGATTTTCTCTACTTGCTGGGACGTTGCGTGACGAATGACGGTAGCTCATTAAAGCATGTGACCAGGTGCATATCAAAAGCTCGAAAGGTGTGTGTTGGATTAAGACATCTTTGATATCAACGTGACGCTTCATTCAGGTTGAAAGGTTGCGTACAGCGTGTGGCTGTGTTCAGGTGTGCTTTACGATTAACAGACCTTGAGTTTACTTGTGGACTGGAGGTCTTCGACTATCGATGTTAACGTAGTTTGGTGCAGGTAGGAGCGGGTTAGCAAAGCTGAGTTAAACTAGGGTATTTGGGAGAGCACAGATGGAAAGTTTGCTGTTACAATGCATTTGAATGAGTATGGTTTGCGAATTCTAACATGTGTTATACATGCACACTAGTTCTTTATTGCATCACACTGCTTGCAGTTACCGCTTTGGGGTGGAGGAAATGGTGCCGGGGACAGCCATTCATTTTTTCACTTCTTTTTCATGTACTGAATACGCANCTGCGACTGATCAAAGACTGCCTAGTGGGGTGTGAACTCTTGACCTCCGTGTGCTGTAGGTTGTATAGAAAAAAGTGTGCCAGTGTAAATATCCCCCTCTCTCGGACTGATGTCTCGAAGGTCCCGTAGCCGGTCGAGTGGAGACAATAAACGTCACCACGGCTAACTGTGGTGTCGGCTTTTTTACCAGGTTAGCAGGCCTGAAGAGTTGTGGGCACTTGGTGTCAGTCATAGCAATTCCCATTATTTTTCCCTTCTGCATTCAGATTCAAAATATTTACTCGCAATAATACCATACGTACCGTGAGTTTGATAGAATTCAGTAAAGTTCACTCCATATTATTTCGTTGTGCGCGGGTTATGTATGTGTGCGTGAGTGAATACAAGACTTCGACCTCGCTTTGTTTTATCAGGGACATTTCCATTTTTATCGAACAAGAATAGTTTTCCAATTGTGAATTCGGTTGTTCCCGGACTGACGCTGGTTGAAGTAGTACACAGTTTGAGAATCAAAATGACTCCTGGATTTTTGCGCTATTGCAGTTTCTGACCAAGTTAATAAAAAATTAATTTGGTCAACAGTTCCACAAAGTGTTCACAACTGCACACCCGAACTCCCGACAAGGAAATGGAATACACGAATGAGTGGATAGGCGTGCGGTAAGCTGGCTAGGTACAGACTGTATGCTAACCTCCGTACAACGATCCTCAACAAAGAAATCAGTTGGTGATCTGTTGACGGGATACTGTCAAAGCCAAAGGAGACCAGTTTCTCTCCCTCTCGGGAATTCACAATCGGAGCCGCCGGCTAACCAAAGCCTGAGCCACAGGGCAGGGTGAAAACCTGAAGCCGTTGGGGACTGGTGTTTATTTTACCCACCATTAGACGGAGTCAAACATCTGTGGTGCCCAACGCACCTCGATGCAAGATCAAGCAGTGGCCGCTGACACAACCAGAAGGGTGAGTCGCATGACTTGGAATCAGGTTTTTAGCGCAACTCTCCTCAGTGAACTTCCAGTAGTCTACCGACGCGTTCATAGCTCCAGCTGTTACTTTGTCACTCTCACCCCTTGGGGGAGAAGACTCTACCGCCACGTGAAGGTTATGATTCAAGCTTCCTCTACGGAGGCTAACGTTTGATACGCTACCATGTACCTAGTATTTTCTGATAAGCCATTATTCGTTCTATTAAAAGGTGTTCGATTTTTCAGGGCATTGTAGCTTAATAGATTTGGAAGTCTCTCACCCAAGAACGTTACGTAGAATACGATAATCCAGCCTGAGAGCTCTGTTGAGATACGGTTCAGGAAATGTGTTGTCTAAAACCATCGCGAGCATCTTATTACTTAATACGCATACCTCAAAATGTTGACCTACCAATCCCCATTTGTTCCCATTCAGTAACGGAGGATTTCGGGTTCACTCGGTAATGCTTTTAAAAATCGCTAAGTCAAACGCTGTACAATCGAGGGAAAACTGGCCAGCGTGTGTTCCGCATTGGTTGATAGCCCTAGAAATGGTGTGAATAACTACTCGGAGTATCAATTTATAGAATGCGCTTTGACACGAACCGTGCATCGCTACAGAAATGGTTGTAGCTTCAACAGGAGCATCAAATCGGCTGTCCATCCCGGAATATACCGTGAAATACCTAACTCTGAAAATCCATGTTCTGTTTACTTTTGTTGTAGCCGATATAGGAGGCGGGGACGTTCGTTGCTCATCGTACGAATGCTCAGAGTAGCATTCAGTTTCATAGGTCTTGTGCAGCCAACACAGAGAGAAAACAAACCCGGTCGATGAATGAAGCTTATCTTGATTTGACTTGCTGCATTTACATTTAGCGCATTTTCTATGACACACCTTAGTGTAACTAGCAGCAGATGAGATGATTCCCAGTCACGAGGACTTGCTGTTCATTGATGATGGAAACCTGCAACCTAAGCCCCGCGGGACTTGGAATGGTGAACCACATTAGGCCCCGCTAGGTCAGGTGTGGTATTGAACCGAACGATAGCAATGCTGCCTACCACCAAAGTTAGGTGGTGATGGCGGGGCTCGAACCTCGGCCCATGGGATCTAAAGCACACCAGTGACAGAGACTAAACCACTGCGCCACCAGAATGATAGTACAAAAGATGACATAGCAGTGAATGCATGTCCAACTGTTTAGACCGTTTTGCATGCGTCTCCCCGGTAAGTATCAAGGCAAGTCAGATCAGTTGTTTTTGGCATTCCGAAACCAGACATGAACTTGTGGATAGATCACCGGTAAATCCTTGAACCACAGAAACGGGGTTCCTATCAACGTACCGTCACAATCCCGAACTCATACTACAAGGAATTGTCCAAGCTGCCACTCAAGCGCTATCCGATAAAACAATCGTATGGTATCTAATGAGCGTTGTCCCTGTCTAGGCGATTAGAATCAATATGAACCCATAGAGAACCAACCAAACAACCAACGCGCAAATCCTTCGGAATAGCACAAAACGTGCATCAAATACTTAAATGAAAGATACCAGTTTAGGCACAGTCCAATCAGGACGTGGACGGGGTTTGAAGATAGGATAGTGTTCCGGATGTGTGTGTGTTTGCGACGCCAAGAAGAAGAAGAAGAAGAGGCACGGCGAGTTCCGCATGGGGGTGAGCGAAGAAGCGAAAAAAAGAGATTGGGATTACAAGTACAGAGTACGAAATAAGCCTGACACCGGGACAAGAAATGTGGCTTATTNGGCTTATTTGAATCGATGACAAACTTGACAGCCTGGGTGGAATGAGAACCGTGAAGAAGAACAGGATAGAAAGATCCAAGGTCAGGCGATTTCTCATTCATGGATGAAAACACTATGCGGTCGTGTCCTCATTGGTCACAATTGAGGCCGGTTCACAATCGGTAAGGATAGTTGACACTAACCGACGAGGAGTTTCACTGTCACCATCCGATAGACTGGAGCTCAAGTTCATTGCCTGGAAGTGGAGAACAAACAAGAAGACAAAAAAGTGCTTGAATCATCCAGAAAGTTAATTAATATAAACGTTCATCGCAAAGATAAACCTGCGGTAGCACGGGGAAACCGTATTTGTATTGAAGCCGTAACAAGTTATAGACCCCCAGATGATGGGTTCGATCAGTGTCCAACGGCTATCCACTTAGTAAACCAATGCAGAAGGAATAAAAAGTTCAAACAAGGACCAATGGAAAACGAAAGAATGCAAGTTGGACTAGATGTGACTGAGTGAGTACAAAACAATAAGTAGTTTTTTCTAAAAGGAATCGGTCATTCGAATTGAGATGAAGATGTCATGTGTTCGAATCTTGTCATCATCACTGCCCAATTTTCCCACATCTGTATCTCCAAAACGAGCCAAAGTCCCCTTCCTTCCTTCCTTCCTTCCTAAAAAGTAACTAAATCAGTGTACGTTCATTTAAAAAGAAGCTAAAAATTATACTCTGACGAAATTTTGTGATGATCGATAAAAAGCACTAAATGACCCTATTGATGCATACCGAAAGCACACACTATTTTTATGCTCCTACCGAGATTTGAACTACGAATATCCATGCTTGGAGCCTAATCCCTCTGGCT